CTCTAATCTGTTAATCCTTAAACTACTAACTGATCCAACTAAAGCGTACACTCGCGATATCCACATAGCCAGAGACATGTCACTTGTCCCACCATGCTTTCTCTATACTACCCTCCCACCCCTATGTAGAAACAAGAAAATGTGAGGAATTGGTCCCCGAGTTCAGACATAATACCTATCCCTTTCCAGGATCCCGGGTCATGCCCTACCCATGCATAGCATTTCACTGACAACGAAGACTGGGTAAGGAATGGGCACATTATGTTGGCAAAAATATATTCAACATTTGCAATGGCATGTTCTCTCACTTAGAATGACATGTTCTCTTAACACGTTCTCTTTCTAGGTAGGCGTGAAAAGAATGAAGTCCACTTTTCACCAGAGCTATTGACATGCAAGATGAAGCAGACACTATTGTCAGGTCGGAAAAAAAAAAAAAAAAAAAAAAAAAAAAAAAAAAAAAAAAAAAAAACCAGAAGAACCTGGATTCTCGTTCATGTTACTAAACTACTGGATAAATCGTTCCTGACACATGCTTCAAAACATGTGGGCCCAAAAGCCAACCTACTCATGGAGCCAGTTTAATTGGATTTGGGCTCTCCTTAATTTGCCTCAAACCCAATCCACATTGTTCAATTTGCCAACAGCCTTATTAAAATGAAGGAGTACTTTATCTATGCCTTTGGTTCTTTTTTATTATTTTTGACAGTTGCTCAAATAATATTTAGTAGGGGAGTTGTTTTGGTATGCCTTATTTTTGTAAATTAATTAGAGTTCCTTATACCTAAAGTTTCATTTTCCTGGAGAAATGGTCTTCATTCTCTCAGCTTATGACTAACAGTTGGAAGCAATTCAGTGCCACAAGTATGGATTTGCACGGTTCCACTTTGACCTGCCGCACACTAGGTACCAAGTTATATGCAAAGTAGTTCTGAATAAGATATGGGTCCTTTTTTTCAAGGAGATTAAAATCCTTTTTGAAATGTGACATCAGGAGTTTGAGCTCTGGCTTGATATACCCAGTTTCGAAAATCTGCCTTGCCTGTTCTGCATCGAGCCCGAGACAAAGGCTGTCTTGACTAATCTTCACATCGACGATACAGGTGATTATTTATGAATGAGGAAATTAAGTTCAAAGACATAACTAACTTTCACAATGTGACTTGTCAGACTAAATAGAGCTGGGAAATGAGCGGATGTCTGAGTTCCAAACCAAAAGTATGTCCAATGTTTAAGTGTCATCAGAATATGTCATTAGCAGCTACGTGCCCATGACAGCCAATTTATGTCTATTGTGGCTTTTGTGTCTTGGAGATATGCTCTGAAGTCAAAGGTGGTACTCAGTTGGTCCTTTAGAGGAAAAAAAATCTTAAATCAAACAAAAGCTCATATGATGGCAATTAGAGCCAAAGTCAAGAACATTAAACAAGACTTTCTAGCTATTCATCTATTGAATGAAGATTTATTATACCTAATATAGGACATGCATTGTGCTAAACACAATGAAGATGACAAAGATTCATGAGGTTCATTTCTACTCTCAGGGAGCTTTGACCTTTCAAGTATCAATAGCTGCCGTGTGTTAGATGACTACAAACCACTAAGCATTCCTTGTAAGTCATCTGTTGTCCAAAAGGGGATCGCAGGATGATGCTTTCATTCCCATTCTGTGGATGGAGATCTGAGACGGGAAAGGGTATCATCAAGTCACACAATCAAAGCCAAGATTTGAGTGCATGGGGGGGGGGGGTCACTCAGTCAGAGTTATATCTCAAGTGGCTGTGACATGGCTCAGTCACACCTTAGAACCTGTGTTCAATCCTTGAAAGTCATATAATAGGAAGAGAGAGTTGACTTCCACAAGCTCTCTTGGACTTCTACTCTCATGCCCTGACAAAAATGTTCTCTTACACACCACACACACACACATGCATGCGCGCACACATACACACACACACACACATATTCACACATATATATACAAGAAAAGTAATGAAAATCATAGCATAATCTAGGGATGTTACACAGAGAAACCCTGTCTCAAAAACCAAAAAAGATAGAAAATAATAGCATAAAACATTTTAAATTTACCTGAAAATTATACCTGTACCCTGAACTTGACTGAGATATAAAGGTAATTCCCCAAGTGTCTTCCACCTTCTTAATCTTTTGAGAGACAGACAGACACACACACACACAGAGAGAGAGAGAGAGAGAGAGAGAGAGAGAGAGAGAGAGAGAGAGAGAGAATAGAGGGGGAATGTATGCACATGTGTGTGCACACGTAAAGGCCAGGTGGTGTCAGTGTCTGTCACTCTCCACCTTATTTTATTAGACAGAGTCTCTCACAGAACCCTGAATTCATCAATTCAACAAGACCAGCTGGCCAGGCCAGCCCCTGGATCCCCCTATCTTCATCTCCCCAGTGCTGGGGTTACATGCACACACCACTACACCTAGCTATTTGTGTGGGTGCTAGAACCCAAATTCACGCTAATATTCTAGCATTTTGTCCACTGAGCCATCTCCTCTACTCAAGGCTCCCTTATTACTCACTTCCACTATGGAGGTGAAGGCCCCCTCAGCACCCCACACATGCCAAAACGCTGTGCTCTTTGCAGGCACTCCATGAAGTCACACGATCATTTTTAGCTCTGTGAGCGACACTATCATTTATCTCTTCCCGGTGCTCATCAAGTGACTGAAACCTGTGGTATGAACATTATATTTCAAGCTCTATTGGCCATAATGGATTTCTTGCCTCTGTCATACATGTTATGCATTTCCCCAGCTGATGCATGCCTTCCATTTTGCAAATAATGAGTCAGATGTAGGAAATGGTCCAAGGTTATTCACATCACAAGTGAAGGGCCAAGACTCAAACTCCAGTAATCTCTACTCTTACAAAGCTTTGAGTAATATGTCCAAATTTTCAATATAGTTTCAAGGATAGCCAAGATGAGTGCATTTTCTGCTAAGCCAGATGTGAATGTATTCTATGGCTTTTTATGGTGAGAACTACTTTTCTTCAAAGCATTTGTTCTTTGTTCCTCTCATTCCATTCCCATTATTGCTTTCAGAATATTTCGCATGTATACAACCTCTGCTCCCCCACCACACACACTGGTGTTTCATAATTGCTGGTCCTGCCTCCACATTCTCTCTCGTAACTGTTCCCAGAGGCCATCCGTCACCAGGCTATAGCCCATCTCTCAGTGAAGTTTTCATGAGAATGTCTCTTTTGTGGCATTTACCAAGGGGGAAATGTCCCCCAAATGCCTTTAAATAAACTGGAGCAATGCCTTTTTCATAGTCATTTTTTAAAAGACAAAAACCAAACTAAAGCAACAACAAAATACCCAAACTTGTGAGTCATCGCAGCCGTAGGATTCTGGCGGAGGTTTGACAAAGGAAAACTGTTGGGGCTGACTCCCTTCAAACCCTTGACCTGACCAAGACAGTGATTTATAGCTCTCAGTCTCAGGTAGTCTCTGAGGAATGCGTTCTTATTTTCAGAAAGAAGAAATCGTTGAAATTAAATACATGAGATTTATTTGTTAAATCAGAATTTCTGATAGAATCCTAGAGCATGGGACACTTTTTTGGGTGAGGTCACACTAGCTTTTGTGCCTGCTTCTGAGTGTCTTTCCCTCTATTTCTTACAAAAACTCAAACTGGTTGAAGGTTTCAAGCGATGACCCTTGAAAGGAACCATAAGGGGGAGGGTAAGCGAGAAGAGAGGGGGGTCTGCTTTCATGACGATTAAGCCATTTGAAGCATTTTTGGGAGTCAAAAGAAACTTGGAGTAAAGGAAGATTACAACTACTCTCTAACTGTATATTTTTTTTCTCTTAGTCGCAAGAACATAGAAAGATATTTCTTGTCTTTTCTTTGAGAGTATATCCAAAATCACACTTTCAACTAACACCTCCTAGCAAAGTAACAGAATGCAAAGGCCAAGGGATGGTGTTCTCACGTCCAGATCCCACTCGATGACTTTTAGCCGAGCTGGTGTAGTGTCTCTAGATTAGTGAGAGGTAGCACCCCAGAGGACGGCGGTGAGGCTGATGTGAAATGACATGATTGAAGAGGCAGCTCGTGCTCAGACCGCTGGTGCTGGGACAACGTTCTAGCTGTTGTTTTTGGTAGTTTCCGAGTGTAACTCTTCAGTGCAGTCTCAGTCACGTGATAGGGCATTGCCACTCGGCTGTCTAGCCAGCGCCCTGAATTTGTAACCCTGTTTAGCACAAAGGTATTCTTCCGAGAATTCAGGTCAGAGGGACAGATCTGGGAAACAGGTAAATCGCTTACTCTCCATCAGTCCCTTATCCAATATGCTCATTTGTTGGCACAATTTACCTTCATATCCCTTAAGTGGCTAGATCCTTCGAGGAATTGATGTGAAGGGAGATACATCATTCAAAGTCTTAGCATTAACAATCTCACCAAATAGCTGTAGAAGTTGTGTGATCTAAATCCAGTATTCGTGGAAGAGATCTTGGCAAGAAAGAATTGGAAGGCTTTCAGGCAATGTGAGGGGATTTGAGGAAAGAACCACAAAAGTGTCAATCACTCAATTTTTCAGATTGCTAAAATCCCTTTATTAGAATTTCCTAGGCAAAAAGAACAACCAAAGCAATTACATGTTTTCTAGACCATGTTTGGCAAATTTAAAAATCAGATATCTACAGTATTTATGACTCAACAACAGCGATTCTGCCACCTCCAAATGTGTTTGCTGGTTCTAAACTTTGAGAACAGTCACTCAAACAAGCAGTAATTAAATTTCTCTGCCAGGAGAGGTACTCCACCATTGACTATCCAGCCATTTACCCCAATAGCTGCCTCTGTTTAGAGATTGTAGAAAACAACCAGAAAGAGGCCCGACTCTATCTAACTCAATGCTCTTCTTACCTCTGTCCATCAGCATTTCTTCCCCCAAATAATTATTTATTAACTTTCGCTACAGTATGTCTGAATGGAAAAAAAAATCACCATACCTCAGTGACTTAGAGGAACAATCTTGCATTTTCACAGGTGTGTTGGATGGCAGGGCTGGATTGATATGGTGAATATGTTCTGAACTCCAAGAAGGCAATGTTTCACGTTGAGGGTTGGTGAGCCAGCTGGGGTCACTTAGTTCCACATCTCTCATTGTCCCAGGACTCCAGAGCTCACCTAATCACACCTGCCTTATGGAAGGAAAGAGGACACTGTAAACTACACCTGTAAATGGCCAGTAAGTTCTGTCTGCATGGCCAAAGAAAGTTACGTTACCTAATGTAAAGTCTGTGAAAGAAATTAGGAAGAATTGAAGCTACACATTCATCACCCCAAACTAATGTCTAGCCTAAGCTAAAAACGCCCCCTAGAGACTTTTTAATTTTTTTTGAAGATTTTCCTTCTCTCACTTTTCACCGTGATGTAGCATTCTAAACTCCTTTTCCTCTTAGCCAGTCTAGAATTCCCTCTTTCTGTTTCTGCCTTTCAGTGCAAACTTTCCCAGCCATTATTTATTCAACATAATTTGTGTTCTTTTTTTTTTTTTTCGATTCTTTGGGAACAATTCCATAAGACTCTCTTCATATGGATGGCTTAAGTATTTGTAGCCTTGTCCCAGTTATGGTCATAAATAATAAAGATATAAGGTTTTTTAAATAATTTATTTGCATTTTATGTACATTGATGTTTTGCCTGCATATGTGTCTGGGGCAGGGTGTCACATCCCCTGGAACAGAAGTTACAGACAATTTTGAGCTGCCATGTGGGTGCTGGGAATTGAACCCTGGTCCTAAGGAAAAGAAGCGAGTTCTCTTACCCATGGAACTATCTTCCCAGCCCCCAAGATATAAGGTTTATGCATACATCCTAACTATAGACTGGAATAGATTGGTAAGGTGAAGAGAAGATAACTATTGGACAAAAGTAATCTGCACATCATCATGGAGTGTTGGAACATCTGCTATAAACTTAAAGAAAGAACTCTGCTGTTCCTTGTGAAAAAGAACCCAGATAAAATTCTAGCTGCATTGCACTACTCGGTGGTTGCGTGGTGAGGAACAAAGGTATGAACTGGCTAGGGCTTCGATCCTTTGATTACTATTACCCACCAGCACTCCACTTTCATCCTCTAAGTATACAAACTGTTGGTGAGAGGTAGGACTGACTGTAAGATCACATCTAACCTACACCACTGTGACTGAAGCAGAAAATCTCTTCCGACTTTGATTTCTGGTTCAGAAGTTGTATGGCTGATGTGTTCTTTTGGTTTCTGTTGTTCTGCCTCTGTGTGTATGTGTATATGTAGGAGAACATACAGTCAAAAGTAAATTTATTCTGTTTTTAAGAACTAATTCATGCTCATAAGTAATCAGTAAGTTAGACTACATCACATACTGGATGTTGGACTACATCAATGTATTGGAAGTCATTGGTCCATCAGGAAGTATATATGCTTTACTTACTATCTTAGGGTTTCTATTGCTGTGAAGAGATACCATGACTATGACAACTCCTATAAGAAAAACATTTAATTGAGGTGGCTTGCTTACATTTTTCAGAGGTTCAGTTCATTATCACCAAGATGGGGAAGATGACCTAATAGTGTCATTTTCTTTCAAACCACTTCATTTCACTCCCTAGCCCCAAAGGCTTGAAGTCATATCATAAAGCAAAACTACTTTCACTCCAACTTCAAAAGTTCCTATAGTCTACCACAGTCTCAACAATGTTTAAAAATTCAAAGTTCAAAGTCTCTTTTGAGATTCATACATCCTCTTATTTGTAATCCCCTATAAAATCAAAATAAAAAAAGGTCACATACTTTCAACATATAATGGCACAATGACTGTCATTCCAAAATGTAGGTTAGGAGGCATAGTGAGGAAATACTGGACCAAAGCAAGACCAAAATCTAGCTGGACAAACTCCAAACTCTGCATCTACATGCCTGATGGAGATGCTGTTTGGATCACCAACTCCCTCAACATTTCTTTCTCTTGGACTGCTTCCACTCCCTACTAGCAGCTTTCTTTGGCAGGTATTCCATGGCTCTATCGTCTCTAACATCTTGGGTTCTCCAGGGAAATCCAGGCTTCAACTTCATAACTTCACACAATGGCCTCTCTAGACCAACACATGCCTGGCCTCAGCAGCTTTCCTTAGACATAGGGATAACATCCATAATTTGTTTCTTCTATTCAGAATCACATGGCCAAAGTTTCAAAGTTGTACTGTTTACTGGGGCTAGAACATGCCCCCCCTCCCTTAGTCAATTAAATCTTCACCAGCTTTCTGTCCTTCACTACCAAAGCTTAGCTGTCCTGAAACTAGATCTCTAGAGCAGGCTGGCCTCAAATTCAGAGATCCACCACTCTCTGCCTTCCGAGTGCTGGGATCAAAGATGTACACCACCATTCCCAGCTCTAAGCTTTTCTTTGGTTTTTTTATACAAGTTGGAAACTTAGCTTGGTGGGACCATGCCCTTAGGTCACCACTCCCTGTATTCCATTCCTTAATCTGTTTATCTCCTTGAACACAGGGATTTAGTGCTATAGCTCTATTCCACTTCCTGGTGCCCTTTTTCTCAATCTATAAATTTTACATTTTTATTTGCTCAGCTTACTCCTTAGAGTTACTTCATTAGAATTACCACTAATAACACATGACAGAGTCCATACTAAACCGTTCTAAAATTTCTTCTATTAATGGAATTAATCTAAAAATTTTCACTTTAGCCTTGGTCAACTTCTTGGAAAAAGGCAAAAAGCAGCCACTTTCTTTTCCATAATATCACAAGAATGATCTCCAGACAACATACTAAAATTCTTCTCCTCTGAAATCTCTTGGAGTAGCCCCACTTAGTTCATTAAATCACACTCAGCACCACTGTCTTCCATGCTCCCACTAGTATGGCCTATTAAGCAGTGCTTAAAGCATTGCCTTTTGGAAAGCATTGTTTTCCAAAACCAAAGTACCAGGGAAGGGAAACTTGACTGCTCTTTGGGCTAATGAGGGAGGGGGACCCGATTGGGGGAGGGGGAGGGAAATGGGAGGCGGTGGCGGGGAAGAGTCAGAAATTTTTAATAAATAAATAAAAAATTTAAAAAAAGGTTAGGCCTATCACAGCATTACCAAACTTCTGTCTTAGTTGTGATTGCTATTGCTATGAAGAGACGCCATTACCATTGAAATTTTTTACAAGAAAAATATTTAATTGAGGTGGCTTACAGTTTCAGTCCATTATTATCTTGGCAGGCAGACGTGGTGATCAGAAGGCAACATCTTGGGCAGAAGGCAACAGGATGTGAACTGAGTGTCACACTGAGTGAAGCTTGAGCAAAAGAGACCTCAGAGCTCGCCCCCACAGAGACACACTTCCTCCAACAAGGCCACATCTACTTCCACAAAGCCACACCTCCTAATAGTGTCACTTCCTTTGGGGGACATTTTCTTTCAAACCATCACATTTACTAAGGCAATGTACAATTGTGATGCTTTGCTCTCTAGTTTCTAAAACTAAATCACTGGGGAAAGTCTACTCCTTGAGCCTGGTACCCCTGCTTAGTGCTTCCATGCCCCTTGACTACTTTCCTCCACCATACTTGGTATCCTCTAGTGTAACCTGTCTATTCACTTGTCTCTATCCATCACTCAGGCATAGACTCTGAGAAGTAAGTGAATGTGCTTCGTTCCCAATGTTTTACCCTTTGAAACAGCACCTGTCATGAGTTAGATGTTCACTAGCATTAATAGAGGGAAATGATACCATTCTAAATATTACATAGCACAATAAAGTTGAACCATTTTGCAAACTGTGAATGTGATATAGATATCGCTATCGCAATCTTTATAAATCATATCTAATGAGAAAATTTTAATAAACAAACCAGAGATTTAAAAAAGTAAAACATCATCAGCTCAGGGCAATCTGTCAGCTTTACACACTGCCTAGTTTGGGGTTTTACATGGTCAGCTGCTTGCTTGGAGTAGTCTTAACAACATGGGCTATAGGATATAGGAACATACTCAATGGTGGGGCATAGGCTTGTATGAACAGGCTACACACAAACTCTCACATTAGTACAGACAGAAAACCTTGGACTTCATGAGGGAAGTTCTTCAAGGTTGTGAAATATAACCAAAATTCAAGTGCAGATTAAAATATGAGTCTCACCCGAAGAAAAATGCACTTTTTTCTCTGCATTAAAAAAAAAAAACAATCCTTCCCCTGAACGATATGACCATAATGATTCAATTTCTCCCTCACCAATCAGCATCAGCCCATGAGATTCAGACCTGGCACATGGAAATTTCAGCCTTAAGTCAAATATTATTTCAAAGTTAATGACAAAATCTATTTTTGCAGTGGTCTTGTTTAAAATATTTCCCCTTAATACTCTTGAAATGCTGTAATTGAAAGCAGTCATACGAGATGCCAGGGCATGCTTCTTTAATTATGTCCCATGCCATCTGTTTCCAATGGAAGGGGAGTATCTGTTTGCAGTTACCGACCTTATGAAAAACAGGCTTGTCCCGAAATAGATTGGAACTAAAACCAGAAAGCATTTCTTTCAGAGGCATCCTTTCAAGCCAATTAACTTTAATCATTATAGAAATGTTTATTTCCCATCTTAGTCTCTCTTCACATGTAAATTCCTTCAGGGGAAAAGATCTCTTTTTGTGACTGTTTGAATAGTTCCAATTTGGATTAATCAGAACCTGCTGGCCTGTTTATGTCCCAATTGTGAATGCTGGCAACTTTCTTGATGAGGGAGGCACACATTTCCTGCAGAGACAGACCCGAGGTGCGGTAGATAGGCACCTACTAGTCAAAGTGAGTTGGCAATCCTCGTGGCCCCTGTATGTGTTCCAGTATTGCCCTCCAGGGTGAGGACCCATGAAACCATTTGTTGGATGGGACATCAGCAATCCCAAGCTTCGTCACTAAAAGCCCAGTTCTCCAAAGAACTCCAGAATATCTTCTCAGACCATCACACATTTACACAACACTCTCAGGAAAGCTGCAAGAAGCCCTGGTGGCCTTGCAAGACGCAGTGTCTGAGGAGGTGGGTGGAGGTAACATCACCCTACCTAAGAGGCTATTGTTTCTGAATTGCCTCTATTATTCAAGGGAAATTTCTACCTATGGGTAAAGAGTTGTTTTGCAACAATTTTTGGATGAATGTAGATT